GTCACTTGCTCTTTACTCCTGCCTTTGACTCCGGCCTAGCTTGACCTAGGTACCCATCTCCTGCTCGGCTTGGTAACTAATCTCGACTCCTGCCCTTCAGTCCCAGCCCAATGGACACTACAGGTCCAGCTGTCTAAACCCCAGCCATTACCAGTGCGCTGTGTCTAGAGCTACATCCACCCAAAGAGCTTCTAGCAGGAAAGGAGCAGTACAATTGCAACACACATTGACAGGCAACAGAACAGTTTCCTGTGGTGGAAATATTAAACCAGTGTTATACACTGGCCTAGAGGATGTCAGATCATATCTCCCTGTAGTGGCAGGCCCTAGGAAAGAGAAGAGCCTGCTACTTACTCAAAGTTAATGGAGTTATTTTGGTAGCTCAGGGAGTCAAGGTTTGTGTTTTTGGTGCTGGAGGTGCAGAGTTTGATCCGTTCTAATATCTGTACTGTCCGTCTAGGCACATATGCAACCACTGTGTATTCTAGCCGCAATGGGTGTTTCTTTGAAAACCTGAATTTTAAAAGATTTTTTTTAAAATTGCATTTTCTTCCCAAGTAAATATGTAGAGCCCTGCAAATCGGCAGATATCCTCTTTATATCCTCTGATATCCACAGAGCATTTTTGTGGATTGTGGATCGGTTGCGGATAAAATTTTGTATCCACACAGGGCTCTATAAATATGTACATACTGACCTTTTACCATTAGCGCTAATCATTGGAATCGTGGAGCCACACCTGAGAGCTTCTAGCATATGGAGAATGTACAAAGCTTCCTGCTTGCTTTGGCACAGGAAGTTCACTCTTGTAACAAGCAAGATGATTTCTGTGAAATGGAAACAGTATATTTTGTCTCCCACTGCTCACCAGCTGCAAACTGTTTACTCAGGAGAGGTGTTGCTGAGCTGGAAAAGAATATATAGTCTTTTCTGAAGCTGGGAAGTAATTTAAGGAAGAGAAGACTCCATAGGTAGAGAGAATCAATCAATTTGTGTTCATAAAGATTGTTTTATTGATAGTGCGATATATCAAGTATAATACACAGCTGCAGGACTGTTATTGGGTGAGATAATGAAAGAGAAAACATCAATTCACAACAATTAATGTGATAGCTGAGAATGCTAATTGTTAAATCATAAAAAACTAGAAATATGCTCCAATATATTATTTCTTCCTGTAATTTCAGATAGTTGCTCAAGTCTGGCGATAATGGTGGTTTTTCACATCTGGCTAAAATAATTGAAGATCCACCTCCATTTTGCCCCGAGGACTATATAATAACCTCAGCTGTGTGACAGCAATACATTTCAATTTCAGTAGTAATTATTTTATGATTGTTTCTAATGTCCTCCTAAACTGCAAAACTGTAGTGTTAAAGGATTGTGTTACATGGTATGTAACGCAGTTTAATCCCCTCTACACATGCAGTTGTGTATATCAAATGTTATAAGATAGTTGAGAGATAGTATGTTACAACAAGACCCTGCTATGAAATAACATTTGCTGTGTAGAAAGACCCTTAAACTATGCAATCACATTGTTCTGTTAAATGTTCTATACACTGCTAGGTCCTTTCTATCCTAGGGTTTGAAACAGAGTTATTTCCTTTCTCGCAAGCAACACTTAAAATAGTTCTTATTAATCCAATTTGAACTCTGTATTTGATGTCCCTTACGGTAGGTTGCAAAAGAAAAAAGGCTGGTTTCGGTGCCCCTTTTTCTGTTTTCTGATAAATTACCTAAAAAAAATATTTTCAGTCCTCTTTAAATATGCTTGTTTTTACCTTTAGAAATATCAGTCAAGTGTGTGTGATTTTTTTTTTCACAAATTCTGCTGGAGTACTTGTAGTATACAAATTGTAGATTTACTGTCATTAAAGTGCGGGGGGATGTGAGATCTTTAACAAACATACCTTTCTTCCAATTGCTTATCGGTGGTTTGAGATAAATAGTGAGTAACAATAACAAGGAAAAACAAAAAGAATTTCAAACAGAATAAAAATAACTCTCCTGTCATTTTAACTAGTTTCTATTTGCTTGATATCTCTAATGTCATAATTCTTCTAGGTTTTAAATTGTGCAAAGAGTCATCTAGGAAAAACAAAAAAGACAAAGAACTGGATATCTAATGGTAGGAGGAGGAGAGGGAGGCATGCAGATGGAAAAACCTTTTTGGAGAGGAAAAAAAATACAAGCCTTCTTTATACACCATAAGGAAGCAAAAAAGGGCACAACCCTTCTCCCTCTCATTCCTTAGCGTCTTTATAGATGATCTACCGTATTTACAAAAGGCAGAGTTGCTGTGACTCATAGTGGAGAGGGATATATGACAGAACTGGGTGTAGGGATGGGTAGGAACTGACATAAGATAAAGTGTGAGGTAAATGGAAAATACATTGTGCAATTCTGTAACAGGATTTTGATACCAAGTATGGCCAAAGAACACACATTGGAGCCAAGATATACTATTGGATTATATGCTCCCATGAGTCTAGCTGGTAGAGACTGCTGAGCAGATGTGCTTGATTCAGCACATCTTCTGGTTACCCTTATTACATGGCTTCCAACTTGCGGACTAACACTACTCATATGAGGCTATGATGATGCCCTACTGCCAGAGGAAGGGTTGCAGCTGCTTTCTGCTTCTATAGCCTCCAAACTTGATGATTTTTCCACCTCAGGGGCCCTGCGCGGCCAGCACAAACCCAACCTGAATCTAGCCATGATAGTACCAGGTTAACAATGATGTTTTGACCACAAGTATTCTGCAGAAGTCATCTGAAGATTCTTACATTGTGTTAGTAGAGCGAGAAAGCAATTCTGATTTGACTGCAGGAATGGAAACTACGGGCAATCTGTCACCCATTTTTGCCATTAATTAAACCACTGAGAAGACTATTGATAAATGATAAAAATACACTTGTAGAACCACTGGAGTGTATGGTGAAAACTTGGTTTTAACAAGTGAATAAACTAGAATGGATTCCCCACTGTTTCCTATTATAATTTCTTTGAACTCTGAATCAGTATCACTAGTGAATTACCTTCTTTGATCTAAAATTAGTGTGTGAGGCGCTTTCTTAAAATAGCTCCAACTACATCCTTCTCCACCCTCCTTCTGCCTGTTTCCATTAGATGGCAAGGGTCATTGTGTCTCCCAATAGTAAATAAGTTACAGAGTCTTAATTTTTATTCCTTGCATATACTAGAATGTTGACCTAGGGGAGAATTTTATAAGTGTCTAATAAAGGGCTTAGGAGTACAAGTCCCACTGATTTTCAAGGGGAATTGTGCTCCTAAATCTCTTAGGTGGTTTTTAAAATCTTCCCTGTAGAGCAGACATGGGCAAACTAAGGCCCCGCGGGCCACATCCTAGTCCCCGGCCCCTCCCCTGCTTCCCCCCTCCCCTGCAGCCATGCCGCCGCACGTGCCGCGCTCTGGCCCGCCGCTCCCGCTGGGCAGCGTGGGGAGTGCAGCTGGCTCTGGCCAGGTGTCACAGCTGTGAGCTCCTGCTGCTGGTAACGAGGCAGGGAGCGGGGGGTTCTGGGTGGCAGACAGGGAGGAGGGGGCGGTTGGATGGGGCGGAGGTTCTGGGGGTGGTGGTCAGGGGATGGGGAACAGGGAGGGTTGGGAGTGGGAGTCCCGGGGGGCCTGTCAGGGGACGGGGATGTGGATAGGGGTTGGGAGGGCAGTCAGGGGATAGGGAGCAGGGGAGGTTGGATAAGGGGGTGGGATCCCGGGGGGGCAGTTAGGGGCGGGGGGTCCCAGGAGGGTGTGGTCAGGGGATTAGGAGCAGAAGGTGGTTGGATAGGGGGTGACAGTCCCAGGGGGGCTGTCAGGGGGCGGGGGTGTGGATAGGGGACAGGGAGCAGGGGGGCTGGATAGGGGGCGGGGGTCCCGGGAGGAGGCGGTCAGGGGACAAGGAGCAGGGGGGTTGGATGGGTTGGCAGTTCTGAGGGGGGCAGTCAGGGGGCGGGAAGTGTGAGGGGGCAGGGGCCAGGCTGTTTTGGGGAGGCACAGTCTTCCCTACCCGGCCCTCTATACAGTTGCACAACCCCGATGTGACCCTCGGGCCAAAAAGTTTGCCCACCCCTGCTCTAGTGAATTCTTTCAGTGGTATGACAGTATTGAAATTTGTCCAGTTCTAACTTGAACCATATTGTTCTCAAATCTATTTTGGAACCCCTATGCATGGCATGACCTTTTTGGGATGCAGTGTCTTGCTTGACAATCTTCTGAAACAAATCCTTGGTTATGACTGACTTCTGACACTACTGAATTTAACAGAGAGAGCTTCTTTACTATACTTTAATATACTTTACTATACTTATATATTTAATATACTTTAATATAATTAACTACTACAGTGATGGGATAAGAACCTGGATGGAGATTAAAAGTATTCTGTTCTTGCTTTTCAGTTCATATGTGGAATAGACTTTTTTGTCTTAATCATCTACATAATTCTTTTTTGCCCCATATTTCTGCCCCAGTCTCCTCCAGTAGGAGTTGTGGGAACTCAGCACATTTCAAATTTAAACCATTTATTCTTGCAAGAAACTCTTACTGATGTAGTGGAATGAGTATGGAACATTTCATAAATAGAAATTTTGCAGTTAACCAACTCACTGCAGCTCAGACAGCGATTTTACCTTTGTAGTTTTGTCTGTGAAGGGATCTTTCATAATGGCCTGTGGGAAATCCAGATTGCACACAAAATTTAGTAAAAGTTATTTGGACCTCTGATTAAGGGTTTACCAGACACCACTTTAAAAAAAAAAAAAAACCCACTACCTCCTACTCTACTTTTTGATTTGTTAAGTAATCAAACATGCCAGTTTTCTCTGTTCATCCTGCCAAAAGGAATATTATTGGATTGCTATGTTTTGTTTTGTTTTTTCCCGTTGGACTAAATGAAGTGAAATTTGATGCATTAGTCTCTGTAAAATAAGGTCAATTGAAAAAGAGTTGATTGTCCTTTTTATTATTGTTCTTTCTAGGTGTTGACAGCCAAGTTTAGATTTCTCCGCATAATCATGGCAGAAGGTGGATTTGATCCCTGTGAATGCATTTGCTCGCATGAACATGCAATGAGAAGGCTGATCAATCTGGTGAGGCTAACATGAGGACGCTGCTTTTTTTTTTTTTTCCCCAGTGCTGACTGCAGCAATTTTATAATCACAGTTAAATAGGCTGCTGCCTCCACATGTTCTATTGTGTGTGCATTTAGAATGACATCTTCTAGATTTTTAGCATGGTTTTAATTTAAAGATGATACCTTTCTGTTTAAGATATTTACCAGGGTTGCAGTTGAACAGCATATACTATAGCTGCACAGCTGCCTTCTGTATCCATTGACTTATGTCAGTCAGTATAAAACCTAAGGCCTCAATTCTGCAAACACTTGGACTTCATAGGATGACACACATGTAAAGTTTCTCACATGCACAACATTTGCAGGATTAAGTTCTAAATTTGGAAGACCAAGACTGTAAAAATGAAATAGTTGAAAGGCAGAACCTAGAAACGGTGTGGTTTTCCCTGCTCTGCCACTGACTTGCTGAGTAACCTTGGGCAAGTTGTTTTACCTGTCGGTGACTTAATTTCTGATCTGTAAAATGGGAATAATTATTCTTTCACCCATATTTGTAATGTACTTGATGTGTGGAAGAAAACAATTTCATAAACATTTGTTCTAAATATTGACAGGTGTGAACTGTGTCCAGCTAGGGAAATATGGTTACAAGTTTAAATATAATTTGGCTATTTTAAATATTTTAAGATTAGACTTATGCTCGCACCTACAGCCTCTTCCTTTAGAGTAGACTACTTCCCCTTTTTTACTTTTGCAGGTTTATTTTATTTCAATTCCTGCCTTAGGGCTGGAATTAATGCCTTTTTGAGGTAGTGAGCACCCTCAACTGCTATTGAACCCAATGGGAGTGGAGAGTAGTTGGCACCTTGCAAGATCAGATCCTTTTTCCAGTGCTGTACTACCAATATTTTAACAAGGGCCCACAACAAATATTTCCCCCCTTAGTTTGTGACTAACTCCGTGTTCCAAGGGTATGTATGGCTAGGAATGAGGAATCTATTAATTTGTTTTCCCATTTAAACAAAACCACTTTCTCCTACCCACAATCAAGAAAGGAGGCAACAAGCTTATATTAAACTGCATTTTGAAAGGAGTATTCATACCTTAGACTTGGTTCCTGAAAGTATACTGAGTCTATTGGTGGTGTTGCTCAGTGATCGACTTCCGAAGTGGGAGTGGAGTTTGGGATGAAGATTTTTGTAAGGAGGAAGGGGTAACCTCACATGGTAAAATACATGTTTGGTGCAATCTGGTCCATTTTAAAAGACAAAACGTTTGCTTTTAAATATTTGTAAGGGTCATGCTTGGCACAGATAGTTCAGCAATATCCAGAAAGAGGGTGAGTCGGAGGCAAGGAAATCTCCTACACTTGATCAGGGACAGAATTTTAGCAGGATGCTCAGTCTAGCCCCAAGAATCCCATCCAGCATATTGCTTCAATAAGAGCCTTTTTTATGAGTTACCAGGGGCATCCTTAGGCATATGCAGCATATGCGGCTGCGTAGGGCGCCCGAAAATGTGGGGCACCCCTGGGTTTAGGATATGTCTTCACTAGCAACGTTAAAGCGCTGTTGTGGCAGCATTTTAAAGTGGCTGTGTAGTTGCAGCACCAGTGCTGGGAGAGAGTTCTCCCAGTAATGTAAAAAACCCATGTCCACGAGGGGAGTAGCTCCCAGCGCTGGTGCACTGTCTACACTGGCACTTTATAGCACTGCAACTTTCTCGCTCAGGGGTGTGAAAAAACACCCCCCTGAGTGCTGCAAGTTTTAGTGCTGTAAAGTGCCAGTGTAGACAAGGCCTAAGGGTATGGCTACACTACGGGATTAATCCGAATTTATATAATTCGAATTTGGAAAACAGATTGTATAAAGTCGAATGTATGCAGCCACACTAAGCACATTAATTCGGCGGTGTGCGTCCATGTACCGGGGCTAGCGTCGATTTCTGGAGCGTTGCACTGTGGGTAGCTATCCCATAGCTATCCCATAGTTCCCGCAGTCTCCTCCGCCCATTGGAATTCTGGGTTGAGATCCCAATGCCTGATGGGTCCAAAAACATTGTCGCAGGGGGTTCTGGGTATATCCTCCCCCCTCTCCAGGAAGCAACGGCAGACAACCGTTTCGCGCCTTTTTCCTGGGTGAACAGTGCAGACGCCATACCACGGCAAGCATGGAGCCCGCTCAGCTCAAGACAGCAGTCATGAACATTGTAAATACCTCGCGCCTTATCGTGCAGTTTATGCTGAACAAGAACCTGGAAAACCAGGCGGCGAGGAGCAGGCTACAGCAGCGCGGCGACGAGAGTGATGAGGATATAGACATGGAATTCTATCGAACCGCGGGACCCGGTGCTTTGGAGATCATGCTGTTAATGGGGCAGGTTATAGCCGTGGAACGCCGATTCTGGGCCCGGGAAACAAGCACAGACTGGTGGGACCGCATAGTGTTGCAGGTCTGGGACGATTCCCAGTGGCTGCGAAACTTTCGCATGCGTAAGGGCACTTTCTAGGAACTTTGTGACTTGCTTTCCCCTGCCCTGAAGCGCCAGAATACCAAGATGAGAGCAGCCCTCACAGTTGAGAAGCGAGTGGCAATAGCCCTGTGGAAGCTTGCAACGCCAGACAGCTACCGGTCAGTCGGGAATCAATTTGGAGTGGGTAAATCTACTGTGGGGGCTGCTGTGATGCAAGTAGCCAAAGCAATCACTGAGGTGCTGCTACAAAAGCTAGTGACTCTGGGAGATGTGCAGGTCATAGTGGATGGCTTTGCTGCAATGGGATTCCCTAACTGTGGTGGGGCGATAGATGGAACCCACATCCCTATCTTGGCACCGGAGCACCAGGGTACCCAGTACATAAACCGCAAGGGGTACTTTTCAATGGTGCTGCAAGCACTTGTGGATCACAAGGGACGTTTCACCGACATCAACGCGGGCTGGCCGGGAAGGGTTCATGATGCTCGCGTCTTCAGGAACACTACTCTGTTTAAAGGGCTGCAGCAAGGGACTTACTTCCCGGACCAGAAAATGACCATTGGGGATGTTGAAATGCCAATAGTTATTCTTGGAGACCCAGCCTACCCCTTAATGCCATGGCTCATTGGACAGGAGTCAGGAGCTGTTTAACTACAGGCTGAGCAAGTGCAGAATGGTGGTAGAATGTGCATTTGGCCGTTTAAAAGGTCGCTGGCGATCGCTACTGACTCGCTCTGACCTCAGCCAAAGAAATCTCCCCATTGTTATTTCTGCTTGCTGTGTGCTCCACAATCTCTGTGAAAGTAAGGGGGAGACCTTTATGGCAGGGTGGGAGGCTGAGGCAAATCGCCTGGCTGCTGATTACGCGCAGCCAGACACCAGGGCGATTAGAAGAGCACACCAGGAAGCGCTGTGCATCAGAGAAGCTTTGAAAACCAGTTTCATGACTGGCCGGGCTACACTGTGAAATTTCTGTTTGTTTCTCCCTTCATGAAAACCAGCCCCCTTTATTGACTCATTCATTCTCTGTAAGCAACCCACCCTCCCCGTTCCCCCAGCTTTCTTTCCAAGGAAATAAAGTCACTACCGTTTAAAAATCATGTATTCTTTATTAAGTGATTATAAACATAGGGAGAGAACCAAGAAGGTAATCTGGGTGAGGTTTGGGAGGAGGATAGGAGGGAAGTAAAAGGCCACTGAACAAATTCAATATAATGACAGCCTTTTGGTTGGGCTGTCCACTGGGGTGGAGTGGGAGGGTGCACGGAGCCTCCCCCCCCCCCGCGTTCTTACACGTCTGGGTGAGGAGGATATGGAACATGGTGAGGGGGGAGGGAGGTTATACAGCGGCTGCAGCGGCACTCTGTCATCCTGCTGCCGTTCCTGAAGCTCCACCAGACGCCGGAGCATGTCTGTTTGCTCACGCAGCAGCCCCAGCATTGCAGCCTGCCACCTCTCATCTCGAGCGTCCCTCAAGACCTGACGTTCACTGGCATCTTTCCTAAATTTAGATACAGTGTCCTTCCACTCATTCAAATGAGCTCTTTCATTGGGGGTGGATTCCATTATTTCTGTGAACATGTCATCTCGCGTCCTCTTTCTACGCCGCCTTATCTGAGATATCCTTCGGGACGGAGGAGGGAGGCTTGAAAAATTTGCAGCTGCTGGAGGGAGGGTTGAAAAAAAGGAGAGAAGTTTTTAAAATGATACATTTTACAGAACAATGCTTATACTCTTTCATGGTGAAAAACACTATTCACATTACATAGCACATGTGATTTCAGTACAAGGTCGCATTTTCCATCTTAATATTGAGTGCCTGTGGCTTTGGTGTTAGAGATCACAGACGCAGGTCCGGGCAACAGAATTCAGCTTGCAGGCAGCCATGGTAAGCCATTGTCTTTCGGCTTCTGCGCCCTCCTTTCCCACATACCAAGCAAAGCCTGTTGACTGCTGCGGTTTTCCTGTTAACCTTCAGCAGCAGAAAACAAACTAACCCCCCCCCCATCCAATTCTCTGGGATGATCGCTTTATCCCTCCCCCCACCGCGTGGCAGGTATCAGGGAAGATCCCTGCAGAAACCAAACTAACCCCCCCGCCCTCCCCCTCCCGCCATGAATTCCCTGGGATGATCAATGTACCCCTCCCCCGACCGCGTGGCTGGTAACAGGGAAGATCCCTGCTAGCCAAACGCGAAAAGCTCATGGCCAATTCCCCCCCCTGTGCTTGGCTAACTGCAGGGAAGGATTTCTTTTCAGCCACAGGCAAACAGCCCAGTAGGAACGGCCACCTCTGTCCCCTTAATTAAGTTCCCGTATTTCAACCAGGTTACCATGAGCGATATCACTCTCCTGAGGATTACACAGCAAGATAAAGAACGGATGTTGCTTGAATGCCAGCAAACACCGGGACCATACGCTGCCAGGCTTTGTCAGGCAATGATACCAGATTACTTGCTGCAAGCATGGCGTGGTCAAGTGTCCTACCATGGAGGACGGAATAAGGCTGCACTGCCCAGAAACCTTGTGGCAAGGCTTTTGGAGT